TCAAGAGCAACTGCTTGAGCTTGCATGGCTGCAAGGAATAAATTTAATATTATAGACACTGTACAAACAACAATAAAATTTATTGCCATATCTTTAATTTTATTTTCACTTGAAGGTAGAATGGTTTTTCGTTTTGTTTACTTTCAAATATATAGAGATGTTTGGGCAAACTACAACCAACCAAAATTTTCAATCAAACCTTTTTCAAATTTAACCAACGTGTGCAAATCGTATGGCTAGACTTTACTTTCTATGATTAGCTTGTGTTTTATATACACCTGGCTCGACTGGATAAATTTTGGTTAGTTTGTTCAAAAACTTGAATCATGCAAATTAAGTAAAAGTATTTTTATCAATGTTACTTAAAAAGTGTTTTGGGACTAGATCGAGACACGATCCAATACAACAGTAAACATGCATAATGTTTAGCTTCTAAAAAACTTTACTTGACATTTTCCTAATACATAATTGTTTAGTATTCATATAACTAATTTCTAATTCTAAAGTATATCTCGTACTCATAAAAACTTTGAAACTCAATCATCTACAAAAGAACGTGAAAAATAATTCACACAGTTGTTTGCTTTAAAATTTTCAATCGACTTAGTGATTGTGTTAAATCAAAATGTTCAAACTTGATTACATGGAATTGATATTAGCACAGGACGGGGAAGTAAACTTTAATACGTCAAACCGCACATCCCAATTGGAACAATTACCTAATTTCCTAAAAGTAAAAGTAGATTGACTAAATTTAAAATGTACGAATGAGCAAAAGAAATTACAACATATTGAAAGTTTTTCCATAATAAATATATACTACATAATTGATTTATACATTTTTTAAGGCAGCGACGTCATCAATTCTACAAATCTCTAAAAGAAACAAAAACATCTCGACTCGTTTTTCTACTTATTTTATGATAAGACATTTCACATACAACTTTTACAAAATAATATTTTTAATAAAATGCCCCAAAAATTGAATACTATAAAATTCTATGAAACTAAACAAAGAAATAGATGTCAAAATACAACTAATCTCATTAGAAGTTAAAAAAGTTGGTAAACAAGAACCGATATTTTAAAAAATATATTTTATTCAAAATTAGATAATATATTCGAAATATAAGATTTAGATTTTAAGAAAATTAAATATTAAAAATGGAATTAATAGTTTGACATTTAATTTAAAAATGAATAGTCGAGTTAACAAATTTTAATGTACTCGAACCACAATTTTGTTTTATTAGCATGCTCGTGTAAAGTAAACCAAACTCTAATCTCAGTGCTCGAAACTATATTTTTTAGTTTTTGGAAGTTAATCTTTAAAATAATTTAATAAATTTTCAAGAAAAATTATTCTCTTACTCACACCCGAAGTAAGCGTTAGAGTAAGACGTCTTTCATACAATAATATTTTATTGGAATTTTGAAACGGATCTAATAAAAAGTTTGATTAAGTAAACCTTTGTATGAATGACACCTTGTTTTTTTAATGTAGCTTTGATGACAATTGCTTAATCTGTTTACGTAAATTAAAAATAAATAGCGTGTACATGCACATGCGATGCACATAATGCCAATACAAATAAGTCAAAATGCTTAAAATGTTACCACATACGTTTTGTTTCTTTTTCGATTAAATTATATATATATATATATATTTAAAAATGAATATAATATAGAAGTTTCTGAATAACTTGGGATTAAAATGAAATGGACGCGTTATATAAAATGAAAAGGTACATGAGTTACATTCACTTTGTTTTTCCCTCTTTTTATTGCCAGCCAACATTTAAACCGTAGGGGTAGGGTTTGCTGGTACGGGGGTAGAACATGCAACCGGATTTTGTTTTCCAGTAACTTTTGGTTTAACATTTTTACATTCGGATTTTGCAGGTCCATCCGGTCCACTAAACGTAATGTCAATGTCGGCGAGTTCTACATTTTCGCATGGAAAAATACCACTGCAAACGAGTTTGACAACTTCTGGAAGCGCAGCCGTACCATGAATGTTCTTGAAGCTGATGTTGCTTAGTTTAACATTCGATTCAGCCTGCAAGATCAAAGTACTTGTCAGATTATTGATTAACTCTTTTCATTATATTGGGTTCTTTACAAGTATGTACATACATCCATTTTGCATTTATTCCATGGGCAGTATTTCTGGTCAATCAGGACGGGACAACTAACATTCTTCATGGTGATATCCTCAAAATGCATATCTGATGCTGTGCCAGGAAATTCACCTGCCCAAGTCTTGATTCTAACACCATTCGAAGTATCAGTCAACGTACACTTCGACACTTTAATTCCTTCAACAGGTTCTTCGTTTGCAAACTTTCCAAGACTACCGATACTGATGCCATGTCCAGGTCCACAAGTTACTCCCGTGATGTCTAGATTTTTGGCACCATCCCCAATTGAAATACAATCATCACCAGTTTTGATATCCGTGTCTATAATTTTAACCCCATCTGATCTCCCGATGTGAATCCCATCTGTGTTTGGGCTATCTTTAGGTGCGGATACAGTGACATGTTCGAAAGTAATGTTTTTGCATCCCAAAACATTAGCGTGGAACTGTTTGCTATCTCTGAGAGTTATACCTTGTACCATTGCATTGGTCAAAAAATCAAACCTTACATTCTGTTTAATTTCGGAGTTAAAAGAGTCACGAGAAAAAAATATGTATTAGTTATAAGTACTAAGAAAAATATCAAATTCTTGCGAAAGGTAAGAAACCTTACGATGGGGAGGTTACTACAGAAGTCGTGTTTTTCGCAACCTTCTCTCTTATAAGAAGTGGTCCCTTGTCCATCGAATGCTCCTCCACCGAACAATTTGAAGTTTTCAATATGAAGGAAGCTAACCCATTTAGGCTCCTTGAAAGCTTTAGGATCAGCTGGTGCTTTTACATTGCCCTCAAGTTGAAGCTCAATAGGAGCCTTGCAAGGACCTTCCAGCGTTGCTTGACTTAACAAATATGTCCCTTCAGGAATCAAAATTGTTGTTGGAGTTGTTGAACCACAAGCTTCTTTCCAAGCATCCAACAATGGCTAAAGCAAAATAGATTAATAAAGAAATTATACATGTTTTCACCGTTAGAGTATTAAAGTGAGCTATAATTTCGCTTACCTTACTCAAATCTGTATTCAAGTCAGCCGTTGCGCCAAACTTAGCTACGACGTCAAGAGCAACTGCTTGAGCTTGCATGGCTGCAAGGAATAAATTTAATATTATAGACACTGTACAAACAACAATAAAATTTATTGCCATATCTTTAATTTTATTTTCACTTGAAGGTAGAATGGTTTTTCGTTTTGTTTACTTTCAAATATATAGAGATGTTTGGGCAAACTACAACCAACCAAAATTTTCAATCAAACCTTTTTCAAATTTAACCAACGTGTGCAAATCGTATGGCTAGACTTTACTTTCTATGATTAGCTTGTGTTTTTATATACACCTGGCTCGGCTGGATAAATTTTTGGTTAGTTTGTTCAAAAACTTGAATCATGGAAATTAAGTAAAAGTATTTTTATCAATGTTACTTAAAAAGTGTTTTGGGACTAGATCGAGACACGATCCAATACAACAGTAAACATGCATAATGTTTAGCTTCTAAAAAACTTTACTTGACATTTTCCTAATACATAATTGTTTAGTATTCATATAACTAATTTCTAATTCTAAAGTATATCTCGTACTCATAAAAACTTTGAAACTCAATCATCTACAAAAGAACGTGAAAAATAATTCACACAGTTGTTTGCTTTAAAATTTTCAATCGACTTAGTGATTGTGTTAAATCAAAATGTTCAAACTTGATTACATGGAATTGATATTAGCACAGGACGGGGAAGTAAACTTTAATACGTCAAACCGCACATCCCAATTGGAACAATTACCTAATTTCCTAAAAGTAAAAGTAGATTGACTAAATTTAAAATGTACGAATGAGCAAAAGAAATTACAACATATTGAAAGTTTTCCATAATAATATATACTACATAATTGATTTATACATTTTTTAAGGCAGCGACGTCATCAATTCTACAAATCTCTAAAAGAAACAAAAACATCTCGACTCGTTTTTCTACTTATTTTATGATAAGACATTTCACATACAACTTTTACAAAATAATATTTTTAATAAAATGCCCCAAAAATTGAATACTATAAAATTCTATGAAACTAAACAAAGAAATAGATGTCAAAATACAACTAATCTCATTAGAAGTTAAAAAAGTTGGTAAACAAGAACCGATATTTTAAAAAATATATTTTATTCAAAATTAGATAATATATTCGAAATATAAGATTTAGATTTTAAGAAAATTAAATATTAAAAATGGAATTAATAGTTTGACATTTAATTTAAAAATGAATAGTCGAGTTGACAAATTTTAATGTACTCGAACCACAATTTTGTTTTATTAGCATGCTCGTGTAAAGTAAACCAAACTCTAATCTCAGTGCTCGAAACTATATTTTTTAGTTTTTGGAAGTTAATCTTTAAAATAATTTAATAAATTTTCAAGAAAAATTATTCTCTTACTCACACCCGAAGTAAGCGTTAGAGTAAGACGTCTGTCATACAATAATATTTTATTGGAATTTTGAAACGGATCTAATAAAAAGTTTGATTAAGTAAACCTTTGTATGAATGACACCTTGTGTTTTTTTTTATGTAGCTTTGATGACAATTGCTTAATTTGTTTACGTAAATTAAAAATAAATAGCGTGTACACGCACATGCGATGCACATAATGCCAATACAAATAAGTCAAAATGCTTAAAATGTTACCACATACGTTTTGTTTCTTTTTCGATTAAATTATATATATATATATATATATATATTTAAAAATGAATATAATATAGAAGTTTCTGAATAACTTGGGATTAAAATGAAATGGACGCGTTATATAAAATGAAAAGGTACATGAGTTACATTCACTTTGTTTTTCCCTCTTTTTATTGCCAGCCAACATTTAAACCGTAGGGGTAGGGTTTGCTGGTACGGGGGTAGAACATGCAACCGGATTTTGTTTTCCAGTAACTTTTGGTTTAACATTTTTACATTCGGATTTTGCAGGTCCATCCGGTCCACTAAACGTAATGTCAATGTCGGCGAGTTCTACATTTTCGCATGGAAAAATACAACTGCAAACGAGTTTGACAACTTCTGGAAGCGCATCCGTACCATGAATGTTCTTGAAGCTGATGTTGCTTAGTTTAACATTCGATTCAGCCTGCAAGATCAAAGTACTTGTCATATTATTGATTAACTCTTTTCATTATGTTGGGTTCTTTACAAGTATGTACATACATCCATTTTACATTTATTCCATGGGCAGTATTTCTGGTCAATCAGGACGGGACAACTAACATTCTTCACGGTGATATCCTCAAAATGCATATATGATGCTGTGCCAGGAAATTTACCTGCCCATGTCTTGATTCTAACACCATTCGAAGTATCAGTCAACGTACACTTCGACACTTTAATTCCTTCAACAGGTTCTTCATTTGCAAACTTTCCAAGACTACCGATACTGATGCCATGTCCAGGTCCACAAGTTACTCCCGTGATGTCTAGGTTTTTTGCACCATCCCCAATTGAAATACAATCATCACCAGTTTTGATATCCGTGTCTATAATTTTAACCCCATCTGATCTCCCGATGTGAATCCCATCTGTGTTTGGGCTATCTTTAGGTGCGGATACAGTGACATGTTCGAAAGTAATGTTTTTGCATCCCAAAACATTAGCGTGGAACTGTTTGCTATCTTTGAGAGTTGTACCTTGTACCATTGCATTGGTTAAAAAATCAAACCTTACATTCTGTTTAATTTCGGAGTTAAAAGAGTCACGAGAAAAAAATATGTATTAGTTATAAGTACTAAGAAAAATATCAAATTCTTGCGAAAGGTAAGAAACCTTACGATGGGGAGGTTACTACAAAAGTCGTGTTTTTCGCAACCTTCTCTCTTATAAGAAGTGGTCCCTTGTCCATCGAATGCTCCTCCACCGAACAATTTGAAGTTTTCAATATGAAGGAAGCTAACAGCTAACCCATTTAGGCTCCTTGAAAGCTTTAGGATCAGCTGGTGCTTTTACATTTCCCTCAAGTTGAAGCTCAATAGGAGCCTTGCAAGGACCTTCCAGCGTTTCTTGACTTAACAAATATGTCCCTTCAGTAATCAAAATTGTATTGGAGTTGTTGAACCACAAGATTCTTTCCAAGCATCCAACATTGGCTAAAACAAAATAGATTAATAAAGAAGTTATAATTGTTTTCACCGTTAGAGTATTAAAGTGAGCTATAATTTCGCTTACCTTACTCAAATCTATATTTAAGTCAGCCTTTGCGCCAAACTTAGCTACGACATCAAGAGCAGCTGCTTGAGCTTGCATGGCTGCAAGGAAAATATTTAATATTATAGACACTGTACAAACAACAATAAAATCTATTGCCATATCTTTTATTTTATTTTCACTTGTGTCGTAACCGTCATTCGGTTGGGCCCCGGAATTGGGCTTCGACTTGAAAAATGTGGATTGGAGTCGCCACCAACCATTTTAAAATGAATTTAGGTGGGTCGGACACTAACTTACCTAATCTGCGTTTTTACCAGAAATGTGTCGGGTTCGGGAGTTGGTTACGGTCAAGGAAGGATTAGCACCCTTGAACCGCCCTTTCGGTACCAATTAATTTACTTGTTGTCTTACTTGCGAAAATTCAAAATTTAAATTTAAATTTAACAAACCCGATTCAAATTACTTACAATTGATTTATTTGAATACCCTTAAAAGATAAAAACGTTTGACTCGTAGGAGTATAAAATCGAATTAGGATAGCAAGTGTACAAACGTGAGAATAATAAATAAAACAAGAAAAAATGGAAAATAACAAAACACGTAAAAAATAATCAAAAAATAAAAATAAACAAAATGAATAAAATGTTAAAAATCAAAGACGTAGATAAAGGGGAAATATTAATGGAGTAAAAAAATAAAAAAGGTAAAAGAAATTAAAAAGGAATAAAAATAATGTGTACATATAAAGTAGAATTTACTAAAACAAATAGAAATAATAAATATATAATACTAAGTAAAACAAATAAAAAATAAAGATATACATGATATTAAGAAAAAAATAATAGAAAAAAATAAAATAAAGTAAAAATATAATATATATAAATAAATAAAAACAAAAATAGAATATTAAGGAAATATATATATAAAAACGTATAAAATATAATATTAAGAAAAAATATATATACATAGTAAAAAGAGAAAAATTAATACATCTATATATATATATATATATATATATATAATGATATAAAATATATATAATAAAAATAGTATAACATAAATAAAAAAAGGAATATAGTAAATAAACAAAAAAGTATAATTAAAAATATATATATAGGGGACCAAATTAATATAAAAGTAAAATTAAAGGGTAAATTTCAAGGTAAATTAAAGTTTAAGATTGACTTAGGAGGAATATTAAATACTTTAAAAAAATGAACAGGCCTCAGGAGTAGATCTAGGTTCGAAACATCGAAACCTCACCCCTTTTTGGTCATCGGCGCAACCCATGCTTTGGGTTATTCAAAGCAAATCTCATGAAAAATAACATGCACATGCGAGAAATGAACGAATTAATGTAAAAAAAGATGCTACCTTTTATTTCCTTTTCGAATCGTTTACAATAGCTTTGCCTTTGTATTTTTTCGTGCTTTCCTCTGTATCTTGTATGTAAATCGTCCCTTACAAATGGGGAGGATTACATGTATTTATAGTGAAAAAACTAACTACTTTTTGAATCCTATTAACAATAGAATCCTAATGCAACTAAACTCCTTGCTCGGTTGTTGCACATTTGTTGGTGTGGTTGTTGCTTTAAAAGATATGGTGGTGGAAGAGTCCTCTTAGGAGATGAACTCTTACTAGTTCTATCTTTTAAGAAAATGGGTGTCTACAGTTGCCCCTCTTTGTCCTTTTTCGTGGAACAAAAAATAGGACAAAGATAAAAAGAAACAAATTTTCATTCAGTGGAGTTGAAGAATAACTCCCTGTCAAATTGAGTTGCGGATGACTCTTCCATCGTGAAGTCGAGTCCATCTTGAAATGATTTGAATCAGAATATGGATTCTCGTTGTAGTCACTTTGGTATTCTTCTCGGTTTAAAGACCTTGGCTAAAAATTCAACTGGAAAGTAATCCCTTGACTCCATAATGTAGTTGATATGCCCTCGAGCTGAATGAAACTGAACTCGAAAAGTCTTCGTTGACAGATAGCTTTTCTCGACTTAAGCTATGCTGACGGAAAAAAGGCTTCTTTCTACTAAGGCACGGCTAACCCATATATTCTTCTCGGCTTGAAACCTCGATTACAGCCGGACAATAGTGTGATTGAGGTGTCATCGAGCTGAATGGAATTGAACTCGACAATTTTTCGTTGATAGATATCCTTTCTTGCCTTGAACTATGCTGTAAATTTGATTTACCTCTGAGTTGAATGTAATCAAACTCGAAGGTCTTTGGTGATACATAACCCTTCTTTGTGTTGGATATCCTCTATCATGAAGTTGAAATCCAATCTAGAGATGGATGCTGCTTGTGTGCATGATTCCCCTTCGTCGTGAAGTTGAAACCGCGGGTGGCCCCTACGTCGTGAAGTTGAGCCTGGTAATTGGATATCCTTCATCGTGAAGTTGAAATCCAAGTGGGTAGTATTGTTCTGAGTCCAATATCCTCCGTCGTGAAGTTGAAATTGGCTATGGAACTGGGAAATTGTTTGTTGACAGCCAGCCGCCCCTTCGTTGTGAAGTTGAGCTTGTGTTGTCTCGAGTTCAATATCCTTCGTTATGAAGTTGAAATTGACTCTAAATGAAACTGAAAAGTTGTTTATTGACAATTAGTCGCCCCTTCGTTGTGAAGTTGAGCTTGCGTTGTCTTGAGTCCAATATCCCTCGATGTGAAGTTGAAATTGGCTCTAAAACTGGGAAAATGTTTGTTGATAGCTAGCCGCCCCTTCGTTGTGAAGTTGAGCTTGTGTTATCTTGAGTCCAATATCCCTCACTGTGAAGTTGAAATTGGCTCTGAAACTGGGAAGCCCCTTTGTCGTGAAGTTGAGCCTCAAATGGCACGATATCCTCCGTCGTGGAGTTGAAATCGCAGATGGCTCCTTCGTCGTGAAGTTGAGCCTTGACTTGAATATCCTTCGTCGTGAAGTTGAAATCCAAGTATTGTATATTGCGGGTGGACATGATTCCCTTCGCCGTGACGTTGAAACTGTGGATGACCCCTTTATTATGAAGTTTGGCTTCGAGTTAGATATCCTCCGTCGTGAATTTGAAATATACTCTCAAGAAAATTGTGTCACTTTGAGTTCAATAACCTTCACCGCGAAGTTGAAATTGACTCTAGCTAAAACCTGAAAAAGTTATGCATATATGTGATGCTATGGATGCAATGCTCTTAGGTGTGCCTAAAATGCATATGCAACATATGTTATCTTGGGGCTCTGGAGAGAAATCTCGATCTCTAGTTGCTTGTCTGGAATCTTGATTCTTGAATCTTCAATTTCTGATCCCTGCTCTTGAATTCTTCAAATGTTAAAATCTTATGTGCACATTCTATTTTTGATTTGAGAAATGATTCTCGACTATTTCAAGTATGTGTCTGAGATGAGTGTAACGATTCAGATGATGCTTCAAGAGAAGTTGTCTTGAAAGAGATAGAATTCGTTTCAAGGGAAACGATCTCAAAGATATTTGTTGTTTCATGAAAACGGTCTCAAGGGAAACAAAATTTTGTTTTAATGGAAATAAATTTGAAGATTTTGTGTTTCAAGAGAAACTGTCTCAAGGGAGACAAAATTTGTTTTAGGGGAAATAAATTCAAAGATTTTGTTTCAAGGGAAACTGTCTCAAGAGAGACAAAATTTGTTTCAAGAGAAACTGTCTCAAGAGAGACAAAACTTAGTTCCAAAATAAACTGTCTCAAGGAAGATGAAATTTGTTTCAAATAAAACATAATCAAATAATTTGTTTCAAGGGAAACTTGGAAACTGTCTCAAGAGAGACAATGGTGAGCACGATTCCCTTCGTCGTGAAGTTAAAACCGTGGATGACCCCTTCGTTGTGAAGTTGAGCATTGGAATTGGATATCTTTTGTCGTGAAGTTGAAATCCATGTAAGTTGTATTGTTCCGAGTCCAATATCCTCCGCCGTGAAGTTAAAATTGGCTCTGGAACTGGGAAATTATTTGTTGACAACCAACCATCCCTTCGTTGTGGAGATGAACTTGTGTTGTCTCGAGTGGCACGATATCCTCCGTCGTGGAGTTGAAATCGCAGGCGGCCCTTTCATCGTGAAGTTGAGCCTTGACTTGGATATCCTTCGTTGTGAAGTTGAAATCCAAGTATTGTACATTACGGGTGGACACGATTCTCTTCGCCTTGAATTCAAAACCGTGGATGACCCCTTTATTGAGAAGTTTTGGCTTCGAGCTAGATATCTTTCGTCATGAAGTTGAAATCTACTCTCGAGCGAATTGTGTCGCTTTGAGTTCAATATCCTTCATCGTGAAGTTGAAATTGACTCTGACTGAAACCGGAAAGTTGTTTTGTTGTCAGACAGTCACCCCTTTGCTGTGAGATAGAGCAACCACCATGTGCTTTTGAATCGAGCATCCTTCATCTTGAAGTTGAAACTTGACTCTAAAAGCTGTAAAAACTTATGTATACAAAAAATGATAAATGTGATGCTCTTAAGTATGTCTAAGATGCATGTAACATGAATTAGTTCTGTTTTATCCCATGGATGGAGTCTCGTGCTTTGTGTACTTGTTCCTGCATATGGAGGAAATACCTTCAAAAGGTCTGATAATTTGCATCAGGATGTTGAATTCCCAAAGATGCCCCAATATTCGATGTTGAATCTCAAAAAATGCCCCAACATTTGATGTTAAATCTAAAAAATGCCCCAACATTTGATGTTGAATCTTTAAAGATGCCCTCATTGTTCCTGATTTCTTGCTTCAGCATGAGTTTTGTGTTTGAGAGCCACATGTCATTTACCAAGATCCACTCTAGAGAGATTGTCTTGTTTTGAAAAAAAATGTTTTTCTTTCTTTTTTTATTTTCAAAATTCTGAAAATATCAAAACAGAGTTTCGAAAAATGTTTAACCAAAAGTTTTGAAAATATTGCCCCTTTCACGGTTTTACAATTGAGACAAATCATAAAACTAGAGTTCATTGGATATCAAAGAATTAATTACATTGCTAATCCTTCAATAAATTATAGCCGTTTGACACATGCCAAGATCAAATCTATTTTTGGGAAATGGTTAAGTAAGGAAAAGATAAAAAAAAGTCTTAGGTTATTGTGTTTGGTCAA